AGAGCCTTACTCTCCCTGGGGAGTGGAGGGGGAATGGAGTGAGGGATTGGGAGAATTGCAGGGTTGGGGGAGGAGGTGAGGGACAGGTAGTAACATGTGGAAAAAGTTAAATAAAAAATTATAAAAAAATAAAAAAGAAAAACATGACTTTTGTTACCAAAGACAAGAATAAATACTACACTACTTATTCATTAGTTATTTACTGACTTTGGTGTTTTTGAGACAGTGTCTTGCTATGTAACCAAGACAGACTTGAATTCACAGTCCTTCTGCCTCTACCTCCTGACTGCTAAGATCACAAAAGCAGGTTACCATGCCAAGTTATATACATTTAGTTTCAATTTCTTTATTCACTCAATAAGGATAGTGTTATATATATATATATTTACATTATATAATATTAAATTGTATTTTCATCACATAAATATCATTTTCCCAATATTTTAGTGAATTTGTAAAATCAAATAGAGTTACTTCACATATTTCATCTTACACATTTATTTCATTAATTGAACAAACCATTCCTAGAATTTAAACTCCTTTACCCTTTGAGATGCATACAGGTCTTATGTAGCTACTTATAAGGCTTCCTGCATTCAGGAACCCAATATGATATGATCTTTCACTTCCTTGGCAGAAAACTTTATTTCACATGTGCAGAAAACTTTAGGATCAAAGATATATTTACATGTTACTATTCTGTGTGAATTGTATTATTTGTAAACCTTCATAATTTTAAAACAATAAATATAAAATAATAAACAAAAAGTAATAAAGTAAAAATTTCCTTTCATTTGAATGAGAAGTGATTCTTCAAATTTGATGCTATGGCTTTCATAACATCATAAATAAAACCTTTTCGTGGAGCAAGCAGTCTGTGAAAGTACTGCTAACTTCCAAAGCAGGTGTTGTGCCTCCCACAGTAGATTCATTTTTTTTCATGTGTTCAAACATCTCCATGAAAAGGAACAATTGATAGAAAAAATACTTAGTATAAGTTACAGCTTGGTTGCAAAATTTCTTTTAAAAATGAGCCAGTCAGCAGGGCAGGAACTGTTTCTTTACTAAGCACATACTTTGTTTTTGTGAGCTTCTTTCTGCCAAAATAGTTCTGAAAAACAAAAAGGGAATAAAATCTAACAAATGAGTCCAGGAGACTTCTTTATGCTTTAAGAATAATTTTAGTAGGGGACTAGAGAGATGGCTTAGGCATTAAAGGCTAGGCTTATAACCAAAATAGAAGAATAACTTCATTAGAAAATATTACACTACTTACTATATTTTCCATGACTAGACTGCTCCTTCTATTTGTACATATTTACCTTATTTTTCATGCATCTTCTGAACAGGGACATGAAGGCTTCCAGCACCTAGCAGCTTACCTCAAGGGTCAAGATACAATGAGCTGTTGGTTAATGACTTTGTAACTTTCTTTGACAAAAGAAATTGTGTCGCACCTGACGAGGGTTTTAAAAGGATATATAAATTACCACTGTTTACATTTCATTTAAATTATGTACCAGAGAGTACAGTTAATTGAACATGTAACTCTATTCATAATATAAACCATCTCAGAAGAGTAAGGCAAACCAAACTAATACTATTTAGTTCAAAGTGACTGTTCATGGTATTTTGTTTCCAAATATCTAAATCTAGGTTTGTCTTGAAGAAGATAGGAAATTTGAAGAAAATGTGCATAAGCTGGAGTCATATTGAGAAACCTGGAAAATGATCAGTTTCTCTTTTTTATCCTTCTGTTTAATTTACATTAGAAACAAACTTCTTTTACGTGTCGATCCCAGTTCCCTCTCCCTCACCTCCTCTGCTACCGCCCCACACCGAACCCTGTCCCATCCTCTTTCTGCTCCCCAGGGAAGGGATTTGGCCTTCCATGGGGGATCTTTAAAGTGTGTCATATCATTTGAAGCAGGGCCCAGACCCTCCTCTGTGTGTCTATGCTGAGAGAGTATTCTTCTACCTGGATTGGGTTCTCGATTACTTTCTCTTACACACACACGCACACACACACACACACACACACACACACACACACACAAGTCTCCTTTGTACCACTTTTTTCATCTTCCATATATTAAATCCAAATCTGCTTGGGCTTTTCTTACATATGTTTCTTGTAAAGTTTGGAGCACTTTTCTTAAATAGAAGCTCAGCTCTGAAATTTCCATGCATTTCATCTTTGAATTGATCTTGACCATTATCATAGTAAAATAAGAAAGTTCCCTGGGAACTTGCATGATTTTATATCAACAGCTGGCATATTTGCATGCATTAAAATCTCAACTGGTTATTCAGACATTTCCAATATATTTCTTTTAGTCTTATTAATTATATGTTATACATGAGGTAACCCTCTCTGGAGATTATAGAAAAAATGTGTTTTAAATGAACGTATCAGAAAGGTTAAATTTTAATTAGAGTCAAACACAACTAGTCTCTTGGTATTTAAAGATCCTCTAGAATGTAGTACTCTACTGGGAATAAGGACAATAAGTATATATGTGCACAGACTCTTGAGCATAGATAGGCATTGTTGCTATCAGCTACAGAATGTTAATTTTTGCTTAAGCATTCAGTATTGTAGCCTACTGGGAATTCTTGTGCTCTATTTTTTAACAAATTCTGTCACTAAAATTGGTATGTGCTTACAACCTGAACATCTGTATCTCCATTCTTTGGGTGACATCTCAGACCATAATTTTGGTTCAGATCAATTGAGATAAGTATGGAGTCTCAGGAGCTGTGCTAAATGTTTTTCTCAAATTAGATATATAATAGACAGATATATTTTGCATCATAGACAAAGATATGTAGTAAACACAAATGAAATCAGTAAACAAATTATTTCATCCCATCTGTAATAGATTTATCCCTTACAAATAAGAAAATTCTGATGGTAATGTGACTATGTATTGAGAAATAATAAATATTTACCACATGATACTGATTTTAATGTTATGTGAGTCTTGCTTGAGAGAGTAACAGAATGGTAATGAAAAATAATATATTTTAATTTATATTCATGATGTTTTAACTCAAATAAAACTTCAGGACACTTTATTTGCAATTTGTCATCCTGTGCATTAATTCTCCCATTAAGCAAATAGAAAAAGGGGTAGAATTTTCATAGTATATTTAAAAGCAATGATTCTCAAACACGTAAGAGGTAGTTATGAACAATTTAGTGCTTCAATATAACTGAAAAATAAATCCCACACTTGATGAAGCTTACAGGTTACTATTGTGAAAAGGTACTTAGAAGAGAAACTGGAAACCCAGGTTGGTTTCAGCAACTTTTGAAACCCGACTTGAACCCCCAAAAAGAGAGTGAGTGTCTCCTTATTTCCCATGTCCATATGCACCTGTAGACATGCCCAAGGCACGCATGGTCAGCGGCACAGGTACCTAAGATTTCTCCCTAAAATTTCCCTTTTAGTCTAAAGAGAAGATTTAGTCTTGAAATGTCTTGAAACAAAACTAAATTCAGTTAATATACAAAATGCCTCAAATATATATAACACATATACATCACATATATACATAGACAATAATAAGGATATTTATGCATAGAAAGAAGACTTTACACATTATGAAGAATAGCACTAAACAAATTATAAATCACCAGAAGATATAATAATCTACCTATATCCCATCCTAAGCATACCTATTCCATTTAAACCTAAACTTATCTGAAAGAGATGCCCAAGTCTGAGTACCTCCTTCCAATCACAACCCTAAACAATGGAAAAGAAACTCTAAACAGGTGTAAATTATCCTGTAATATCAACAGTAGGGAAGGGGGCATAGGTAAGTAATTCTCAGAATTGCTTCTGGCTGAAATGAGACATGATAATCATCCTGTAGGAAGAAAATGTCATTGTAATGAAAGTGTCAAGTGGGCTGGCTACAACATTTGTACCCAGTCTCTGTTTGGTGGGCGATGCATGATTAAAGGTCTTGTCTGAGGCTCTGGCCAGAGTGTAATAAGAAGGTACACCATATCAGCTAATTAGTCTGGAGTTGTCTAGAGCAATGTAGTTCCAAACCAGTTTCAGGGTGGTAATTGTCAGTTCAGATGCATCACAACGGATCAGGTGGATTCAGTGAAGTGGGACCCCATTTTCTTTCTGGAATGTTCGAGGATTGCTGTTAGAAAATTCTTTGTTCTTTGTGGAAAACTCAAACATTAACGTCAACAAAGAAATTTCAGCTTTATATGTATGCATACCAGGAAAGGAAACAATAAGGAAGATAGTAAATATGAGGGAAATTAGACTTTCAGAGAAAGAACTAGTACAGACAAATGACTGTCCCTAGATTTTTGCTGTCTTCTGCTTTACATCAACTGGCTTCTTGATGTAATACAGAAACTCTGATTTTTATTTTAACACGTGCCAGCATTGGTTTAACTGAATTGGGACCAAAAGAGTATTAGGAAGTAAAAAGAAATAGATTTTATAAGGATATAAGTTAAGAGAATTAGACATTGATAACAAATATGAGATTCTTCTTTGTTTGATGGTTCTTTTGGCTAGCCATCCTCTCTTCTTTAGGAATCTACATGTTCAGTGTCTTCTTGCCTTTTGGAGATGGATTTTCCTGTTAAGAAAAGAACAAAACACTTCCCTTCCCTTTTTGAGGTTTCCATACACCTCGTGGGATGTGACTTTGTGGATGACCTGTCATCTTTCTTCCTCCTGAGGTTTCTCCTGTTCAGATCAAATTTTGATCACTTTTGATGGTATCCAAAACTTTTCTTCTCCTGTGGAAACAAAGGCAGAACCCCTTCCCCAATGTAACAAGTATCATGGTTTCCAACCTGAGGTCATTACATCTTTGAAATACACCGGCTGATTTAGTTAAGAAGTTTTTTTTTCTGTACTCAAGTGTATTTCTGCAGCTGTTTGTCCTTTCCCAGTAACATTAAGAAAGTTTGCTGTGTGTCTTTGTCTTCTCAAACCAACATCCAGCAACAGTCAGTCATGGTCCAGGAAATGCAGTTTGTTGAGCAGAGTTGGAAGTTTGTCAAGGACTCAATTGGGCTGGTTAAAAGATGGACCAAACATGATAGAAAAGAATTCCAGAAGGTTGCCATGGCCACAGCCATAGAATTTGCTATCATGGGATTCATTGATTTCTTTGTGAAACTGATGCACATCCCTACTAATAACATTATCGTGGGTGGCTGAGTGCTTTCTCTTCCTGGGAACTAATGAACAAATGAGGGAGTGAATAGCTCAGAAAGTAAAAATTTGCCTGTATACTTTGTGGATTCTTTTACCTTTCCTTCTCCCTTAGAGTTTTTTTTGGGGGGGGTTTATAAGACAGGTTTCTCTGTATTGTTTTGGAGGCTATCGGTCCAGCCAGGCCTCGAACTCACAGAGATCCGCCTGCCTCTGCCTCCTGAGTGCTGGGATTAAAGGCGTGCGCCACCACCGCCCGGCTCTCCCTTAGAGGTTTTATGTTTCCAAATTAAAATAATTTCAAAATGAACATTTTTCCAAGACAGAAGAAAAATAAAGTTTAATGTTAATAAAGCATTGCGTAAACTGTGTTTGGGGGTCTTTGTCCCCTATGGCTATTTATGGATTGTTTCTTTTAAAGTGCGGTTTGATATATCAACCACTGCTTGTCCTGTGGGATTGTACGGTATACCAGTTATATGTTTTATGTTATAATATCTGAAAAGCTGTTCCAATTTCCTAGAGACATATGGTGGAGCATGGTCAGTTTCTATTTGTTCAGGTATGCCCATAATGGACATCACCTCTAATAGGTATGTGATAACAGAATCAGCCTTTTCAAAGCTAAGAGCAGTAGCCCATTGAAACCCCAGAAATGTGTCTATTGAATGGTGCACATATTTTAAACTTACAAATTCTGAAAAGTGAAACACATCTATTTACCTAATTTCATTTCTATGTGTATCTTTGGGACTACTGCCTGCTGATGACAGAGTTTGATTATAGAATGAACAGGTGGGTCAGTTTCTTACTATTTCCACAGCTTGTTGCCAAGTGATGGAAATACCTTTTTAAGCCTTTGCTATTAACATGGTGTTTTTAATGAAATTCTGAAGCTTAGAGCAGACTTCCTAAAAATCAGTCTTATCGTTACTTTGTGCTAGAGGACCTGGCAGACCCGTATGAGAACTGATGTACTTCCAACACATAAAGGATATACATCATCATTTCAAAATGAAGAGAAGCTAGCACAGTGAACCTACTCCAAACTCTGCATTTCATTGTCTGATGTCAAGACACTCTTCAGATCTCCAACTCCTTGTAGCTTTGTTAACTGCAATTCACTTCTGTTTCTTGTGCTGGTTCAACTCCCTGTTAGCCACTCTCTTCAGCAGGTATCCCACAGCTATTGCATCTCCAACTTTTCAGGGACTCCAAGACAATCCACTGCTTCACACAATAGCCTCTCTAGGCCTCCATCCAGGGATACCCTTGACACATGCCTAGCCTCAGTAGCTTTCTGTACTTATGGAGGAAGATTCTATAATCCCTTTTTTCTATCCTTGATTCTTATACCAGAACTACGTGATTGAAGCTACCATGCCAGGTTTTGCTGCTTAATGGGGATAGAACATGGCCCCGTTATTCAAATACATTTTCATCAGCTCTCTATTTTGGATGATTTCTTTCACTGCCTAACTTGGCTGTCCTGGAATTTGTTCTGTAGGCCAGGCTGGCCTTGAACTCTGAAATCTGACATGCACTACTGGATCTAAACTTTTCTTTAATTCCTTTTTACTTTTCTTTAGTTCCTTTTCATAAATTGGAAGCTTAGCTGGATAGGGTCTTGCTCTGAGGTCACTACTCCCTTTATTTCACTTAGCATCAGGCTTTTTAAAAATATGTCTACCTGTCCCTGTGCCTCTTTTCTCCTCAAAATATATATTTTGTATGTTCCTTTCTCAGCATGTTCCCTTCAATTATAGATTTGCACAAGCATTTCTTATTGATTTTAAGATGAATATAAAAAGGTGATTTTTATCTACGCTATGAACAATATATGTATATATACATATGCATGTACATATATTTGACTATTTTTCCTGAGACTATATGAATGGTATGCATATGGGTGTATATTTACAGGTAAGTACACTTCTGGGGAGTGTGTATACATGTGTGTGCATCAGTACATGTGGGGGCCTAACATTTATATTATGCGTCTTTCTCAGTTGCTCACCATGGTAATTATTGAGGCATTGTCTCTTGCTGAATCAGGAGCTTCCCAATTCTAGACAGTCTTGCTAGCTATCTCGTCTTAGGAACCCCCTCCATCTATCTAAAAATGCTGGGATTGAAAGTGTCTCCCATGCTTGCCCAGCTTAACATGCAGTTTGTGTTGTAATTTTAAAAAACACCTTGAGAGAGAAAAACACCTTGCTAAAGAGTTCAAGTGGAGGGAAAAGGATCATAAACATGCCTCCTGGGACAGAAGCAGTGAGAGAGAGGAAAGAGAGGCAAAGAGAGGGGGGGATCAGACAGAGAGAGGGTAAGAAAAAGAGAGGGATGGGAGGTGGGCAGGGTCCTTTCAAAAGGGAACAAGCAGAGGTGGCAGCAGCTGAGAGTATATTTTCTCATAACTCCAAAGGCAGGCAAGTACAGATGCCTAAATACTGAAAAATGTGGGATTCCAATTCTGGTCCTCATCCTTCATGCCTAATGCTTTACCCCCTGAGACAGCTCCCAAATCCATAATTCATTATTTACTTCAAAAATTATTTGTGGACTTTTCAAGTCAATGTCATTATACATATTTGTCCTCACAACAACAAGTCTCACTGTTGTTAACACTTGAGAGTTGCTTTGTTTTATTTATTGTTTTCTTTTATGAATAGTCAGCATTATAAGGACTGGCATCCTTATGCCAAAACAACCAGAAGCTGCAGATTATGGGGACTGTGTACAGAGATTCATTTTACATAATTACCTATAACACAAACTTCATTTGTACATGGAATTGCCTTAATATCTCAAAGACCTCCAATGACTATGAAATAACATCTTCACACATGACATAGGGGAATAAACCATCTGGATCAGATGATGGAATTATGTTCAGAGGGATAGGGTCAATCTTTGCTTACACCATGGATCTAGAAAAAACAAAGTATAATTAATGCACAAATCCTTCAACTCCTAAGATTCAGTCGATTGAAGTAATCACAAGATATCTCATACAAATCACATGTTTGTCACCATCCATTGGAAAAGGAATATTTTAGAAATATATGAAAATTAGAAGTTATGTGTTTAGCCAGGTGGTAGTGGTATATGCCTTTAATCCAAGCATTCAGGAGGCAGAGGCAGGCAGATCTCTGTGAGTTCCAGGCAAGCCTGGTCTACAAAGCTACACAGAAAAAACCCTGTCTGGAAAAAACAAAAAATAAAAATAAAATTTATGGATTTTTCAAAAACATTGCCAAATAAAGAACCTTAGCATCCCACTTGTATGGTTAGTGTACCTTGTAAGCATCTGCTTGTCTCACAATGCAAACTCTCCCAAAGAAAAAGGCAGTTTAGAGCAGGACTTTCTAAGGAACACAGAATTATATATTTAGTGAATTCTATTTGATCAAAAAATCACAGAAATTAGAATGAATAAAATTATACAAATACAAAATAAGAAAGTAGAAAAGTTTACTTAGTAAGATAAAGGGAATGAGAAATGTGTCTTTTATCTCTTATTCTGTTCCATGAATTAATGTTCAAGTGATTTGAAATATGACATGGTTAAATTTGTATAAAAAATGACCATGAATAATGAATTATAAAAATATCATTGATCATTATCTAAGAACTTTTCTGACCCCAAATTAATAAGGAAGAAAAAGCAGACACTAGCCTGTGCTCTTTTCATTTTGACCCTGAGTGTTCTGTGCTGACTTTATGTACAAAAGTATGACCTACTGAACTTATTGGGTCCAAGGACACTCTTTTAGCTTGGGCTCACTGACAAACTTAGCACAATATATGTAGATGACAATATAAATGACCTGCACTCTACTTTTTTGTGTCAGAGCATAGAATATTAAATTTTGTACTGCACAATATCACAAGTTAAGAGAAAATTATATTTAGAAAGGATTGTTTGAAGAATCTACAGTCTATTTCTCTAGGTACCTTCATATCTATGCCTTGGTTCAGTTCATCAAATGTCTGTATACCTGAGGACTATTGTATTGGTTTCTCACAGAACCTGTTTTATTAAATTATGAGTAAGCATAATTCCATTAGCCATATATTATAAGAAATAGCACTATGCAAATCAAAGCTGTGTTTACCAGAGGATGTGAATGAGAGTTCCCTTCATTAGATTGTAACATCCTCTTTGGAAAGAACTTGAGAAAGAACACATTATTCTTTGCAGGCTTTGAGTTATACATTGATCCTATTTTTGCTTCTACTTTTCTACTCAAAGATAGAATGTTAGAATTCACCTCTGAAGAAGGTGGTGCTTTTCCTCATTTTTAAGATTATTTCCCTCTATTTTAATGATATTTTCTCAACATATATTTGTATACATTAAATTTTTGTTATGTATGTTTATCTATTTTATCGCTTCTGCAATAATAAATGGCATAATAAATAACATCAATTCCCGTGCCTGCTGAGCAGCCTGTATCCGAGAATTTAGCGAGGTTCAGGATAGATGACACAGAGACTGGTCGGTTGCATTAAGTAAACTTTATGCTCCCCCAATCGGCTTAGGAGTACTTCCCAAGAAAAAAAGCTTCCCTTCAGAAAACCTTCTGCCATTCATACATGCACAAATCTCCAACAGAACTCTCACACTCCTCTCACAGACCTCTCACAACCAGGTCATTCCTCCTGGCTGGTGGTTAAATCTCTGGTCCCAGAATCAGGAAAAACAGCAGGGAGTAGCTAGCCATCTGAAAGATCAAAGTCAATGGTGTTTCAGTGAGAGAGCCCTTATCGCCCTTATCAGGAGCTTATGGCACTGAATTGTGTTCAGTAAACATATTTTAAGTAAACATTGTCTCACAGCTGCCTGCTCCCAGGCTGATGGAGGGGTGGGTTTCTGAACAAAGTCTTATGTCCCCACAATCAATATACATATATATATTAATTTAATAAAATGTAATTTGATATGTTATGAATGGGAATTGTCCCCACAGTACCATATCCTGGTATTTTGGTTGCCAACA